AAGACAGCCATCACGTGCAAACACAAGGCGCCATGTTCGTGGACACTAAGCGATAAAATGTGACTTTAACTTATCCTATGTGAAGGTGGAAAATTCCATAGACAACATCAGAGTGTTAAATATATTTGTGGCATTATAATAAATAAAGGAAAACGAACTAAAATAGACATCGCGCCGAAGTACCAATCTCACCTTCACAGGTAGCACCATATTTTCACAAAGGAGGTACTGATGACCGAGTCATGGCTGTAAAACCATAACAACTGTTGAAATTCAATCAGCTGTTTCATCAAAGATTGATTTTAAAACGCGGTTTAGCGAGTATTTGTTACAGCTGTGACTAATCTCCAAACCTTTTCAAATGGACTGTACTGAAATAATGACATTTCTTATCCGTTATATCGCGCGTTGTTCATTAATTCATACTTGATGCTTGTAACTCAAGTGTATACTAGAATAATGATAACATTTTAAAGCACTGTTCCCTCAAGCCTTTCAATACTTTGTGACATATCTCGATAAATAATGCACCAGTGACACAGCACTTTTAAACATTAACTGACACACAGACAGCACACTAAAAGAGATATTGAATTAACCCTCTGAAGCCGAAGCTCTCCTAAATAATATTTAAGAATTCAGTCCGTACCGCGTAGAAAACACAACTCTTTACCATTACAAAGATCAACCGGTTAACCCTTTGAAGCCTACGCTCGTCTAAATAATATTTAAGAATTCAGTCCGTACCGCGTAGAAAACACAACTCTTTACCATTACAAAGATCAACCGGTTAACCCTTTGAAGCCTACGCTCGTCTAAATAATATTTAAGAATTCAGTCCGTACCGCGTAGAAAACACAACTCTTTACCATTACAAAGATCAACCGGTTAACCCTTTGAAGCCTACGCTCGTCTAAATAATATTTAAGAATTCAGTCCGTACCGCGTAGAAAACACAACTCTTTACCATTACAAAGATCAACCGGTTAACCCTTTGAAGCCTACGCTCGTCTAAATAATATTTAAGAATTCAGTCCGTACCGCGAAGAAAACACTTCACTTCACCATTACATAGATCAACTGGTTAACGCTGTTTAAGGGACATGATCGCTGTTTACAGCGAGAATTATATGAAAGCTATAAATACAGAAAGCAATTACTGATTGTTGAAGCAGATCTAACGTCATAGCTTAGATTTGAAAATACATACCACGCCTGCCAATTCCTGCACGAAAACGAAAGATTTCCCTAGTAACATTTGCGGGAATAGACGACTATACATTGTATTTGGCAGCCAGATGACCTAAGGATTTTATATGATTTATTTTTACGGAGAAAGTTACCGACGATGGGTGGGAAAGTGGCTGGTATATCGATTGCTGTCTATCGAAAGTCACTTTTACTCTTCGTTGGCGGTTAAATGCCGTCGGAGAGAACATTTTTAGACAGACTGTACTGTACAGAGACGTGATAATTGGGACGGCCGTCGTTCACAGTAAACACTGGATGGCGCCTGCAACTGTGAACCACGCAGCACGGGTAACATCTCTGCTTAAAAATCGACATCGTACAGGGGGGGAGTGTCTTCTGCTGGTTTTATTCCTGGAATACGTAAACTACTGGGGACGGTGGGATATCCCCGTATCTTCAAGACTTAACACCCAACTTTTCTACGACTACAGCGGTTGAAAACGCAGGACGGAATGTGACGTACGTGGAAGAATTCATGGTATACCCTGTCTGACCGAGGACTGCCGATTTCTTCGGAGGGCACTGACGTCGTAGTACGGAGGCTGCGACGGGGAAGGGGGGGGGGGCAGAGAAGGCACGTGAGAGGTTGCCCCTGGATAGCTTACGCCATTAGTTTAAAATGTCAGAATTTCTGGAGCTCGCTACCGGCACTCAATGGTCAGACGGGATATACACACAGTCCTTGGTTCTGAATGTTCTGATATCAGTGAAGTGGTTTTTAAAAAAAAACACGCTGGCTCCTTCAGTGATTGAAACAAAGGGTTGAATGCATCAGGACTTACGAATGAGGGGAATGAAAATATTACACAAAGAGAAGCAACGAAAGAGAGAGAGAGAGAGAGAGAGACAGATTGACAAGTAAGACGAAGACACAGATGCTGTGCGCGTAGTATAGTCGCCCCTTTCTAAACTGTTCTAAGAAGCGCGAAGCAAATTAATTCCTTGTGGCCGTAGAGACATTTACATGATCTTACTCAGTACGAAGGCAAATACGGGGGAATCCCTTGGCTAGCTGAGCAACCATCAGATTTTCAAGGAGGACTCTGCTCCACGGAGTCAGTTCCGTTCATTACCGTCTTCACATAAGTCCCCAACTTTTTTTATTATTCTATGCCAGATGAATTCAATCTACTCCATTTAACCTCATTTCCCTTAGATTCATTTTAATATTATCCCTCGTCTTCCGATGTGTCTCTTCCCTCCAGGCTTTCAAAGCAAACTTTGTACTCATTCTCACATGCCCAGCACATCATCCTTTCAAAATATAATGCCGTAAACCTGTCGTGTGTGATTCGTCTTTTAAAGGGTTCACCAACTGGAACATTAAATTGCTACAGATCTACTTGCAGCCTCAGTACTGACACTACGCATCTTAAAATGGACACGCGTTATCAGGATCCATAGCTACGACTTCATCTTGCCAGATGGCGATGCAGCGGTCACAGACTAGCAATGGAGGACGTGCGCACAAGAGCGACACAACGCACTTGCACAGCAAAGGATCTGAACTCTTTAACGACTCGCAAGATTTAATTAATTTGGTTTGAATTTCAGAAATGTCGGACGGGCCCGATATTTGACGGGGATTTTGCCTAACCGATAAAAATCCGAACCAGTTACCTTCTGAATACAAGTCTAAAACAGAGGTGCGCAATCTGTAGAGAAAGAGAGAGAGAAATAAGGTCACTGCGTACAAAGTAAAAGTTCTAGCACCCAGTGTTGTAAATTGAGATTATTTGAAATTCAGTTTTCACATAATTAAAACAATTATTGTTCAATACTAAATTAGACAGTTTTAAACTATACTTGCGCGATAATCGTTATTCCTTAGTCTTTTCGGGTCAGAAATATACTCCTTGTTGCTAAAAATACGCAACTCTTAATTAAATTTTTAAATGTTCTAAAGCCGTGTATTAAACACCACCTGAAGATGTACGCAAAACATTGATCCGAAGCACTGTTAACCATTCATAAGACTACATGGCGTCACAATTCGATTTATCCAACGCCTTGAGAACTTCAAATCTCTGTCCGTCCGTGCGTCTCCCGGTTTTAATTTGGAGCTTTCGCGTGTTTAAAACAATTCCTCACAAATAAAGGTAGGCACTACTTCAAAACAATGACGCAGCAACCATATGCTTTGTTGGCTATCGGGTGTTAGCTGCAGTAACCGGAAAAATCTCTACCTTGGAATATTACTCCATAAATTAAGTGTCAAGCCAAGGCGAAGAATCGACAGTCTCTTTTTTCTAGAGCTCGACGAGTCTACAAATCTACTCGATCAACAGGTAAGTTCAATTTTGCAAATGTTACCCTAATGATCTCATCCCCTGACAATTCCTGCACAGACTTAAAAACACCAGACTTGGAAATTTAAGGGCGAACACTATCAGTTCACCCCTTTGAAGCCCGAACGTAGTCCAAATGGATGTTTACTCTAGCAACCAAGAGCCAGATAATTTCACGCATTCCTTACAAAAGCGATGCATTCCAAATTTGGATCTCCGTCCGATTAAAAAAAAAAACATATTAAAATAATTCTGAACATCTGACGTATCATCGTTAGGTTCAAACCGCACGCAAGTAAGCACATGTTCCCCTTACGCACGGAATGCGTTTATTGCAGATATTTATAGCGAGGCATCCCACAACATTACTTGCACGCTCACACACTTACGCTCACATACAAACTAGTTTTATACAGCTGATAACTCTACCGGATGTGCCACGGGCGTTTCAATTAAGTGAATTAGGCAGCCCGCAACTGTTGCATTCTCTCAGCTTTCATGCTCACTTGTCAGACACAATTTCTGCAAGAAAACAGTTCCTTACAAGTGATCATTCTTAACATTAATTATTAAGCGAGTGAGGTGGACCACATCCATTACATTACGACACTAACACATTCATACACTTTATCCGCTGCTGCTAAATCTATCGGGTGTCACAAATGGCAAGGAAAAAAAACGTTTATCAGATCTAAAACTTGTTGACGATGGTGAAGAGTCAATTGTATAAAAATTTCCTTGGATATTATCCATCGTATAGTAAATATAAAACGTAAAAAAAAAGACGTTTCGGAGATTGGGACTCTATCTCCGTCTTCAGGTTCCTACACAGTTGGGCCCACTAGATAGAGCTAATCCCTATCTCCGAAACGTCGTTTTTTACGTTTTATATTTACTAGACGATGGATAATATCAAAGAAAATTTTTATTCAAAAAAAACGTTGCTTTACACTAATATAACATTTCAGCAACAAATTACTTCATTACAGCCGATTACTCTACCGGGTGTGCCAAGGATACTTCAGAGTGGGGCAATCCGAAGGGTTTCACAATCATTAAAAGCAGCGATCGAAATTTGTTTTACATATTTTAACTTCGGGGTTTCTAAGGCGGTGTCTTTTGGGTTATAACGCCGTGTACAAATGATTCAGAGGTAATTGATGGTTCCATCATCAGGGCGATAATTACAGAAACAAGCAGCACGTAAGAAAGGAAAGAAAGAAAAATGCAATAAGAGATTAGATTTTCTACATAAATCATGCCAGTGGTTGAATTCTGTAATATTCGCCTGGAGTTCTGGACTCTACAAATTCATGTTCTGTTCCAGATGTTTTGTAATACGTAAAATCGCATTGCGTCATAGGTGGCCGCCATTAATGCAATACTAGCGGTTGCTTCAACACTGCAAACATAATTACACGAACAGAATATAGTTTATGGCAGAATTTATAGTACACTTACCACATAAATAACATTCCACGGTTTGATGACGCTTCTTACCTGAAACGAGGATAAAAACAAATGGTTAATTAAGATGAAAGTTTCACTGTGTCTCAAGATGCTACACATACCAGTTAGCACGTAACGTTAAAAATTCTGTTACAAACTGAAGTGATGAAACAGAATATAAATGATGGTCCGAACCACGGATATCCAATCCGTAGAAATTCACTGTACTATCTATATTTACTAGACGATGGAGTGTTCTGTCTGACGACAGGTCCATATGAACAGGATCCTTCCATCCTTTTCTCGGACTGGGACCTGTTCATATACGTTCTTGGCAGATGATCCAGAAGTGGTTTGCCATTGCCTTCTTCTGTGTGTGAATGGAGTAATTGTTGGGATGCCACGGAGAAACCGGGGAAGCACCCGGAGGAAAACTCCGTGTTGCCTAGACCACGGCCTTGCCCAACACAAGTTATAAATTCGGGTACCGCCGGGAATCGAACCCGAGACCCCAGGATTACAAGGCCAGCGTTCTAACCGCTAGACCACTAAAAGGCAATTTGGGTCGTTGGGGCAACTGTTGACGAAAACTCAGGTACAGATTGTAGATATTGGTAGGGTGTGCAGCACGCACAGGAATAAATCTAGAATTTTGCACAAAATTCCGGTCAGAGAACTTCAAGCGACGAGGTCAGATGGGAAACATAGGTTTGTATATCCTTCGTGGGACACGAAGTGGAGATGACTGGGTTAAACCGGCTCAGGATAAGGCCCAGTAGGGTATAACGAACCCTCCGTTCCCACAGTTGTGGATGGTTTGTTGATCAGTGAAGCTACAATTCGGTACTCAGAAGCAGTAAGCGATTCTGAACCATGTCGGAGCGACGGACAAAATATCACTCCTGACATGTGGAGTCATTTACGCAATCGCGAACTCTGTAAATGGTTGAAACTCCTTCGAGTCCATTAAACGCGACATCAAGGACCAGGCAATTCGAAACGCGTTTGCCAGATTTTAAGGTGACCTAAAGCAAACAGAACTATTTACACTGTTACACTTTCTCTCTCCTAGAAAGGCCACGAACTGAGCATCACACACGCAGGTAAATTCCTGCCACTTCAAAACACAGAAAGCGATATCGGCCTCGCTACATTATTTAACAGCGCGACTTAAAACACCTCATGGACGTTGAAGTGTGTCATGGTTACCGTGTAGGAGGCGCCTATGCGTTTGCAGGAAAGGCAGCACAGTTCCTCCTTCTGGTTACAAAATAAGTCACACATATAGCTACCAGTGGGCTAAATCAGTGGTATTCAACCTTTTTTGTTCGCGTACCCCCAGATATAATTTCCCTTCAACTTTGTACCCCCAAAGTTGTTGGTGTATAATTCAAGTTATACTTAGTATATAATCTACATCTCAAATGAAAAAAATAAATTATATTACTGATTATTCAGTGTTTATCATAAAATAATATTATTTTTTTTAAAATTTCACGTACCCCCTAAGATGTCTTCGTGTACCCCCAGACATAATTTCTCTTCAACTTTGTACCCCCAAAGTTGTTGGTGTATAATTCAAGTTATACTTAGTATATAATCTACATCTCAAATGAAAAAAATAAATTATATTACTGATTATTCAGTGTTTATCATAAAATAATATTATTTTTTTTAAAATTTCACGTACCCCCTAAGATGTCTTCGTGTACCCCCAGACATAATTTCTCTTCAACTTTGTACCCCCAAAGTTGTTGGTGTATAATTCAAGTTATACTTAGTATATAATCTACATCTCAAATGAAAAAAATAAATTATATTACTGATTATTCAGTGTTTATCATAAAATAATATTATTTTTTTTAAAATTTCACGTACCCCCTAAGATGTCTTCGTGTACCCCCAGACATAATTTCTCTTCAACTTTGTACCCCCAAAGTTGTTGGTGTATAATTCAAGTTATACTTAGTATATAATCTACATCTCAAATGAAAAAAATAAATTATATTACTGATTATTCAGTGTTTATCATAAAATAATATTATTTTTTTTAAAATTTCACGTACCCCCTAAGATGTCTTCGTGTACCCCCAGACATAATTTCTCTTCAACTTTGTACCCCCAAAGTTGTTGGTGTATAATTCAAGTTATACTTAGTATATAATCTACATCTCAAATGAAAAAAATAAATTATATTACTGATTATTCAGTGTTTATCATAAAATAATATTATTTTTTTTAAAATTTCACGTACCCCCTAAGATGTCTTCGTGTACCCCCAGACATAATTTCTCTTCAACTTTGTACCCCCAAAGTTGTTGGTGTATAATTCAAGTTATACTTAGTATATAATCTACATCTCAAATGAAAAAAATAAATTATATTACTGATTATTCAGTGTTTATCATAAAATAATATTATTTTTTTTAAAATTTCACGTACCCCCTAAGATGTCTTCGTGTACCCCCAGACATAATTTCTCTTCAACTTTGTACCCCCAAAGTTGTTGGTGTATAATTCAAGTTATACATAGTATATAATCTAAATCTAAAATAAATTAAATAAATTAAATTACTGATTATTCAGTGTTTAACATAAAATAATATATATATTTTTTTAAATTTCACGTAACCACCCTAAGATGTCTTCGCGTACCCCAGGTTGAATACCACTGGACTAAATAACAAAAATTTCTGTAAAATTTGTATTATAGATTGCCTCAAGGTGTATACACGTCAAAGCGAAAGGGCAGAAGTTAAGCGAGGGCTATAAAAAGTCATAAAATAAGATCAGATGCAGCGCACATGTGATTTATTGTATCTACGGGGAGTAATTTTAAGAAGCGATTACGACACGAAAAAAATAATAAAGACTTCAGGCTATAAATGTAGTTAACATAAAATTCAAATAAATTTGTGATCGATAACCATTGGCCAGAATCCTTAAAATTAAATACACATACGCAACAAATACGTCTACATGTAATATGAAGTATAGTTCTCATTCAAGGTCACAATTTGTATTTGGAAAAAAAATCAAAGTGTTAATTAATAAAATGAAAAAAAAAATTTTTAGCCACATGTTCTGTGAGATCTAGAATATGATTAGTTTCCAAATAAATGTGTTTTATGGACGCACGTAAAATATGAGAGGCTGTATTCATGAAATATGAACGGGTCTACTTCATTGGTGGACCAAGCACTGAACAATGCAACACGTGCTGCCTGGATTCGTGTCGCGGATGTTTGGACAAACACTTTTTTTTTAGTGTTCTGTCTGACGAAAGGTCCATATAACCAGGATCCTTCCATCCTTTTCTCGGACTGGGACCTGTTCATATACGTTCTTGGCACATGATCCAGAAGTGGTTTGCCATTGCCTTCTTCTGTGTGTGAATGGAGTAATTGTTGGGATGCCACGGAGGAAAACTCCGTGTTGCCTAGACCACGGCCTTGCCCAACACAAGTCATAAATTCGGGCACCGCCGGAAATCGAACCCGAGACCCTCTAGGATTACAAGGCCAGCGTTCTAACCGCTAGACACTACAGCGCTCTAATTGGTGTCCAGACGCACTAACGATGCCTCCAGGAAAACAAATTCCGTTATCCCGTTAAATTGTAACGATTAAATCGATCCTTCTTCAATCTGTCTTATTCTTCTTCCATTACAATTACATTTTCAAAAGGGGCCCCTTCGTGAAAACTGATACTCCGTGTGGAGTGAACCTTATCCATGACGCGGGATTTGACGTGAGGACTCCCAGACTGTGTTCCTCGAGGATTAGACCATCAGACGCGGCTCCAGCTGAACCCTTAATATTCATACACTTCAGCTGACGCCAGACGCCACACCAGCGACCCAACACCGCAAACAGAGCCCGAACCTAACTTTATCCCTAACTGTTTCTCCTCTGTTTCTCTCTTCCACACGAACTAATTACCTTCTGTACTTACAACTTTAATTTCCCCACTTCTCCTCCTTCTTGCCCGCTCTTTATTATTTCTTCTGTTACGTATATTCTTTCTTTACTACTCTCTTCCGTCCTATGCTAATTACTCTCTGTATTTATTTATTTATTTATTTAATTCCTCGCTTCCTGTTGTGCTCTACACTCTTTTTACACATTTTTCCTTCTGCGCAATCTTTTCTGTCTTTCGTTGTATATTTATTAATGAATTTCTCCCTCAACTTTCCTACGTTTATTTTTACAGTCCTTGAAAGGGTGTTTCCGTTCCACGGTCTTGCTTCAATTCCTGCTCGTTCAGAGACAGGAAAATTCGAGGGAGGACTGTGCAGAAGACAACTTCATGAACTGAAAATAAACATTGAAAGAAACTATTTATCGTAAATTAATTCTACTTTCGCTTTACATCCTTAAGCAGTTTCTGTTCACTGCGTTAACGCTGAATTAGCGTTCAGTCTATATTGTTTTTTTATTTTTTTTCCCGGGGGGGGGGGGGGGGAGAGTGGCTAGAGACATTTTTATAAAATAAAATGTTTCCGTTAAACACAGGTTCACTTTTGACGTCGGAGTTCCACGTTATGGAGGTTAAAGGAAAAATTGTTTTCCATTTTCCAAGGTTCGTTTAGCTTAATGACGACTGATGCTGATAAGACTAACGGATTAATATTACGATGATATTTAACGGGCCTACACGTGCAAGGAAACCAAAATGTAAAAAAAAAGTTACGCACACAGCAGTACACGTGACACACTGCTTCAGCTTTGCCATTACTCGCTGACAAAGACGTCTTTCGCTAATTTAGATTTTAAACAATAAAATACAAATCTGTTGTTCTGAATGTGGCAAATACTATTTCCTTTAAAAGTATCCCCAGTTCACAGCGCACGGACGCTCTCCTACGTCACAAACACAATCAAATACTTCATGATTTATACCACACCTCAATCCCGGAAGCATAACGGGTCTATGACGAGAGATGGGAGAATTTAGCGGAAGAACCCGCTTGGGGGGGGGGGGA